TTTTTTAAAGTTTTGTGTGTTACGTATATTTATTTAATATGTTCTTCGCCCGTAAACCACATACATTTGAAAACAGCATATCTTTAGAATTTCAGCACTGGAGATAAAACTGTTATTTTCCGTACAGTGCTCGCTCTGAACTCGTCGAGTTTGTTAATCAAAAATTCATTAAAATTTAACAAAATATGAAACAGATTAAAATGAAATCGAAATTCAGCCATCCAGATGCCCATGTTTGGGTGGAGGATTACATTATTCAAAATTTGATGGCTCTAGATACCGTCATTTTTGTCACAGTGCGAGAAACATACATGTATTTGCAGATTCTTCATTACTTAATTTCTTTACATATAATACAGGGCAATAATATTTGGTAACAACAACTTGCAAGGAGACACGGACATTTATAGTAAAACAGCGCAAAATGCCGCTTCGAAACTAACAGCCTTTCTACGCTCCTTTGGGCTAATAAATTAAATTAACAGTAAATAAAAAAATCTTCTGCAGAAATAAAAATAAATTTAAAAAAAATAATCACTATAAAATACAAGCAAAATTAATTATTACGGTTAAATACAATTTTAATATTAGAATTAAATGTATAAAAATTTTTAAGGAGTCAAAAGTGTTATCACTATGATGTATTATGAAATATAATTGAAATAAAATTCCTTTATAGAAATTGTGCTATAATACTCATCTATAATTTTAAAAAAGCTGCACAATTTACAATTTTAAACAAAACTTTCAAAAATTCGTTTTTAAATATTTTAGTATTTTTTACTTATTTACACCAATAAAAAGCATAAAAATTGCTTGTTTAAAATTTTCTATTAGTTCAGATTAAAAATAGTATCTTCTAAAAGAAGTAGTTACAAATTTCCTTACAGCAAAGGAAAAGCTAAAAAAATATCCAGCCCTGAAAGCATGCAATAGCTCTATAATTATTTGGAACGCTAATTATGCTTGATAAATATGCTAAATTTTTTTAAATCAATCTCAGTTTCAAAAATAAAAATATGTAGAAATTCTAATTAGTGAAGTGAGGCGCTACAACCAGATTCTTTTCGACAATTATACACGCTGCAATAGGCAACCAATGTTAAATTTCTGCAAGTCATCCCTACTCCTCCAGATGTGATCAAGGTGACAGACGGCAACGCCTCAGGACGAGGGAGAAAATCCGTTTGGGTTAGTCTATTTCTTATAAGGTCCATGGCGCACCATAGGTTACGTTAATGCAGAGAAAGGGGGGGAAAAGCTATTTCCGGGAGTATGATTCAACATCTGACGTTCCATATAAGGAAGAAAAGTTTTTCATGTAGTTTCGGCTTTGGTACGGAGGGAAAATGCACATAAGGGCCTTTATATTTTATTTATAAGCACTTGTAAGGACAGCTACGAACCCTGGTGAATATCAACGCTTGGAAGTGACGCCTACCATCACACGGCATATGTGGCGGATTTTACAGATCCTTGTGTACTCGGATTGGACATTTTAAGGAAATACAACATTTCTTGGACTTCAAAACCAACAATCTGCTTTCAGCATCTGAAAACATGCCTATTCATCATCAGAAGGGATCCTGGAAATGCTGACTATTTGTCTGAAAGACCTCGTCGAGAAAGCTGCTGGTATCATACTAGGGTCAAAGAGAAACACGAGACTACCAGCTATTCTACATCCCATATGCTCATCGGTTATGACCTTCGTCTGCCTTATGATCTTCTGTATGGTTGCCTTCAAGATGCACCTTTATCGCCAGAAGAATACATCCAAGATGTCCAGGCCCAGTTTGAAGTGATGCAAGAGCGACGGAGCTTGGCAATGGATAATGTGAAGACCCGATACAATACCAGAGCTGCTGGGCATTTACAGTCACCTTGGGATGGTCCTTACACAGTCCTAAGCAGACTGAAAGGTGTCGGGGTTCAAATTCATAAGTCGTCGAACTCTAAACTTAAAGTCGTTCATTACGACAGGGTAGCTCATTACTATGGCCATAGTACGTAGTGCAAATAGCGTAAGACCATGGTTATTAAACGTACATTTGATTTGGCTTGTATTTAGTATTTGATTTTTATTTAGTATTTGAATTGTTTTAAGTTACTATTGCAATTATTGTTTATGTTGTTTGTTACTGTAATGTACTGTTTATTATTCCACTAATCCCTTAGTTGTAAGTTTGGGTTCCTGTCCAGGGATTGTACTGCCTGGGACGTGCAGTCCTTGGGAAGAGGGCAGTGTTACAGTTTTTGTATTGAATTAGCTATTTTTAAATAGAATTAATTAAACTTCTTTTATATTACCATGCAATGCATCACGACACTTATTTGAAGAGAAAGCTACGCCGGAAAAATTAAAAGTACAGGAGCATGCGCAGTTAATAAATAGTTATCCCGTAATTGTATACGTCTGCTTTTCGGGAAAAATCGAGAAAATACCAGAATAATCCTCGTCCACATTTAAAACGCTCATAAAAGCGGGATCAAAACCTCTCAATTCAGTTTGTTTTTTAGAAAACTGTTGTTGTTTACTGTAACGAATTCGTGGTGAAATCTGATTAGCTTTCTTTGTTTTGAATTAAGTTCTGCTGAACGTTTGAGTAGTTTAAAAGGTAACTACTGTGAGATATTGCAATATTGTAGGAAAATATCCGAGAAAATTTAAGAATTTTGTTTTATTTGTTGTGATAATAATAAATTTTATTCACTTTTCATCGGACTTTTGCATTCAATTTATTACGAACCCATTCGAATGCAACAATATACAGTACAAAGACCGAAATTCGGACTTCCATTATCTGGTATAATCTAAGATCCGGTCCTCAGAAAGCACCAAAGTTTTTTCTCGTAGGCTTCTGCGCATCTAATCCCCCCTCCAAGGACAATATAACATCTGGAGAGTACCGATTCTTAATTTCACTTTGACACTAAATAAAACCGAAGAAACAATCATTTTAGCATAAATCTGCACGATCACTAATTTAGCTTCGTTGCTGCGTATCTGCTTGGCACACATCTCAAACCAAAACATTCCACACAGATACATCGTTGATCTGACGCCAACCTGGCGAATCATTATTTATTATACTTTCCTTTCATCACTGCATGTTTATCAACACATGACAACTTGAGTAATGACTCATGTAGCGATGGCTAAACAATTTTTTATGGTAGTAATTGAATAACAAAGGAGTGTGGTAACCTATTATGTTGACATTACGCTTGGCAGTGATTACAGATTTTAGTTAAATGCGTTAAAAAATGTTAACAAGAAAAAATTTAACAAGAATGTCTTTCTATATGTATAGACTTTGTTGACAATACTCACAGACCCAAAGATTACATGTAGAGGTATTTGAATTAAGAATAACTGATTTGTTATTCACATGAGAACAGAACTAGCGCCAGGGCTCGTAAAGTGGCACCGGGTTACAGAATTTAGGACCCACAGAGACTCATCAGGCAGATATCTAGCGCTTAATAAGGCTTAAGTATATGTGGGAAATTATTTACTCAGAACTCTGATAAGCATTAAGCATGTGAAAGAAATAGACATAATATAATAAATTACTAGACTAATACAATTCAAGCTTAACTATTTCAGTGTGTGATAGAAGCCAAATAAAATTTAACGGAACAATTTGTCGTTAGTCGCCAAGCTCATGATGCATAGCCAAATATGTATATTGACGGATAGCTAAATTTGATGATGATAGCCGCGAAATTTAAATGTTTTCGGATATCGCAAAACAAAGGTGAAATTTTCCAATTAACGGATTTTGTAAAAAAATGAGGAGAAGCGGTAATAAATGAAGATGATATAAAAGAAGATTTTTACTGTGATGCCAATGCTTCTCAATCATCAATCAATTAATGAATGGCAAAATCTGTAGTATGGTTCTAGATCCAGAAAATATTGCTACAGATAGAGAAGAGACACAGAAGTTACTGAAAACGAAAAGATTTCAATTAACAAGTTAGTCAGAATTCTCCGGCTTCAACAATGTAACTGAACAAGAGATTATGTGTGTCAACAGAATTAAAGAGAAAGTATTAGCACAAAAAAAAAAAAAAAAGCAACTTAAACAACTTACATTGAAAGAAATGTTTAATAAGGTAAACAAATAAATATTAAGCTTTTTTGTAAATTTTGATATCTTTAAATCATAAATACTTCATTATTTCATAAATCACGATTTCATATTAATTTTATTTCCACATGCCATCTTCATAGATTTTAAACTGATGATCTAATATCCGAAAAAATCCAAAATCTGGAATTGCTGATGTTCCGATGAGTCTAGACTTTGAACTTTGTACTGTATATGGTTTAAGTGAATAAATATTAAGATTGCTGGGAAAGTTTTAGCAAGCAAAAAAGAAACTCAATATTCTTGAAACTTAAATCTTCTGCTAAAAGGTACATAAAAGAGAAAACCTATAATCAGCATTAAAAAGTCTTGCTTTTTCTTTTACTGCAACATCAATACCTGGCTTGATTCCACTCTTTCACAAGGGTGCTCTTATGTCAATATTCAGCCAAGATGACCTTACATAGGTAAAAGCTGCTTAAACCTTATCCTAAGCAGATCCATGTGAGTGAAGCAATGTCTTTTGTAGGATTTCCTTGGTTTAAAACTGCCAAAGCTACTCCAAACAGGAACATAAAGGTCACCATTAAACTCTGCCATTATCAACAACAGCATCTAACAAATTCAGAGCTATAACTTCCTCTAGAATACCACATTGTTGAAAATATTCAGATAAAGTTTTCAGAAGAGGACTGTCACCAAGGAAGGCCACTTTCAATGATGTCAAGGTGGATTGAGTGGCTGATAAGCTTACTTGTACACCAACTCATTTTACGTGGATAAAATCTGAAATGCGTCTTAACACTGGTCATCATTACAAATGTGCTACTATTCACAATAATTAAATTTTGACTTTATAATTTAACAAAAAGAGGGGTTTTGTTTACAAAAAAACATACTCACCTCAGCTAAATATAAAAGTCTTAATAATAAGGTCTGTCTTTTATCAGCATTCAGTCTTGTGATGAAATTTGATCTCTTACTGCAAACAGAAAAAATTATACATATACATTTTTAAACAAAATTATATTTCACTTTGCATTCGTTCATCAGATACCCAAATAAAATTACTTTTCTGTGTTTAACAAAACTACAAAATTAAGACAACAATATTAAAATTCTACATACTTTTATTACATTCTTAAAAGTTCACAAAATTCTGGTTTTTGTTCTTTGTATGTATTTTAAGTACCATAATCTTACTGCACCTCGTCCACTTTCAGAATTCAAATAAAATCGCTAACAAAAATTTGAAATATTTAATATGTTAGTAGATTTTTTTACCACTTGCTGCTATTCAAACACGATGACAAAAATTTTAGGTTCTAAATGAAATATTTTATATGTTTGTATATTTTTTATCACTTACTGCTCTTCAAACAGTACTTTATTATTTTATTTAAACAAGTGTAAAGTAAACTTGAACTCGCTTAAATACATATACTTTTTTTTACGCATAAATTTATTCCACTCCCTCCCCTAACACAAACAGCACACTTACATTATTTTTTACGGTACACTAGTGCATACTTACCTAAGACACTCAAAAATCAGGAGATTTTTTTAAGATATCAGGAGATTTTTCACAATGTTAAAGACTTTTTAAATTATAAAAATATAGTTTTTAATAATGAATTAACTTTAAATAGTAACTAATTCTTAAATGCAAGCAACACAAAAATAACTTGCACATAAAAAACGTTTTTATTACATGCATCGTTTAAGAAAAAAAAATGCTTTAATCAGTTTTCACACAAATGTTATAAACAGTGGCAGATTTCGCTTTCTTTAAGAAAGAAACTTCATAATTTTGTTCACAGCAATTGCCACGTAGGCCTGCTTTCGCTAATAAAAGTTTTTCTAATGTGTTATCACTAATATTAAATCTAAATTTAGTCCTCGTTTTTGCAACAACACTGAGAATCCTCTCACACACTCTGCATCATTATGGGTAACTGTCAAGATGGCCAACACAATTCTAGACAGTTCACTATACTTTAAAATTCCATCAGCACCTATTAGTTTTCCAATTAAACTCCACTGGGTGTCAATCCTAGCTGATTTTATAATTTCATCCAAGTTTTCTAATTGTGAACTGCTGTTATGTAGCTGTTGGAACTGTTTCAATTTTTTCTTCCTTTTTGAACTTCTTTCAAAATAATAATAAATATCAACAATGTGTTCATCCACATTTATTGGTAAAGAAGCTGCCTCTTTTTCAACTGCTAAATTTAAGAGGTGACAGGTGCACCTCCATAATCTGCAAATCTGATTTTTCCTTTCTTAAGATGCCTGCAACACCAGTCTTCCAAGCCTACCAATACTGGTATATTATCAGCACCAAGTGCTAAGCAATTATCCAGTGGGACTGCACTTTCTTTTAAAGTTTTAATAATTAGCTGTGCTATATTAAAGCCTGTCAAATGTCCTTCTAAAGTGGGAACAGAAAGTAAACTGCATTCAATTTCTGAAGACTCTGGATTAAAAAAAGAAACAACAATTGGATACAGTTTTGAATAAAGCTGCAGCGTGATCCGATACATTCAGTGGCAGGTTGTGCTCCAGTAAAAAGGCAGAGAACAGACATTCCGCGTTAATAACTTTTTGGTCCTTTGTTTCTGAAAAAATATTTTTTTTTTATTTTATTTTATTTTTTTTAAACAACTCATGTTATCCTTGTGTTTTTGTGTATGCACATGTTTGAGAACATTCGCCCTTTCACCATGCGAAATCGAAAAATCGCAACGACAGGCGGTACGCATCGCAAATTTATTACATTTCCTTGAGAAAATAATGGAAGGAAAGTCAACTGTGAACGATTTTTGAAACGTACACGAGTATTTCACCTTTCTCGCAGATGTAACAAAAAATTATAATTTATAAAACTATTTATTTCCTTAAGGCACGTCTACTCACACAACTCAGGACAAAATGAACGAAATAACTAAAGAACATCCAAATAACAACTTGCTTCGTCCTCATTGGCTAATATATGCCAGCTGACACTCAGTGGAGCTCGATGCCCATTGGAGAACTGGAGAACGACGTCTCTGGATACATATAATGCTTTCACACACAAAGCAGAAGCTATCTGTTTTGTTTTAGATATAATGTAGAGAAAATTCATTGCTTTCAGACGTCCGAAAGCACTTTTTTTTTAATTATACAACAAAGTATTAAGCCAAGTTGCATAAAAATCGTGAGAAATTTTAAGAATAAGAAAAAGTCGGGAGAAATATATTGTAAATCGGGTTGGTGGGAGAGCGGTTGAAAATCAGGAGTCTTCCGCCTAAATCGGGAGAGTTGCCAACTCTGCTAGTGTATTGCAGCTTACTGTTACCATTCCCAGTCAGTGAGTTAGTGGTAAAAGAGGAAAATATATCAACATACCGAATCTGTGCAGGGAAAAAAATGGAACAAATTTACGTACAAAAATCAACTTCACACTGAATAAAATGAAGTGAATTCTAGTTAAACATGAAATAATTAAATATATGGCATGCCATGCAATGCGATTGTAACCCCTCTGTATTAATATTTCATTTAACCAACTTTGTCCTCAATATCAAAAAATATTAATCCGAAGTACATAAAACTAAACAATTTGAAAACTGATGCCATTCAAAACAATAATAGCCAAACTGACGAAACTGGTACAAAGAATAAAAAATATACCTTCCTTTAAAAAAAAAGTATGTTTCTGATGTTCTTGTTTTAAATATCAAAATCAGTATTCTAATTTTAATGAATGAAAGTGACAAACATATTGTGGGGTCAGGGGGGAGTGCATGCAAAACCAAATGAGAAAACAGAGCACTTAACCCCTTCGCGCCGACTGTCACGTCTACGTGCCAGCAAGGAACACACTAACCTCCCTGCCAACACGCAGGCGTGACAGAGCCTTTTCCCGTTTACTACAGACTGTCATGTATTTGTGCCAGTGTCCTGGAACGTTTTTCAAACTATAATTTCTGCCACAAGATGGCACTGTACGTCCATATGGTTTCAGGTACATGTACATTAGACCTTCTACTCGAAATGAGAGAAGCAAAGCTCACATACACGTGTTTTTGATTATATAAACAAACGGGGAACTAAATGTTTCCGAATGGCGTGATTTATGACGTCTCTTTAAATCGCACTTTATTCGCACGTGGTAGTTGTTTATTGTAAGTAGAAGTTTTATATGCGCTAAAGCATTGAGTATTTTGGTTTGCAGTTCAGTTTTTAGCAAATAATTAGATCTTGTTAGACGTGAATTCTTTCTGTTTTTACCGTTGCAATGTCGAAGCGTCAAAAATGTTTAACAGAGCATGAAATAGCAGAAATGATGCAAAATATTTCAGATATTGATTCTGAAAGATTAACTGAAAGACATTTTCCAAAACTTTGTTCAGAAGAGACTGATAAGAAAATGAGACGACAATGCTTCGTTTGTTCACATTCCCGGAAAAATCCTCCAAAACGGCAAATGAGTTATTCCGAGTTCAAGGAATGTAACGTAGGACTGTGTGTAGATCCCTGTTTTAAAATTTTTCATACGAAAAGAGAATTTTAAGTAATATTAGTGTTTTCAGATGTATATGTTAAAAGTCATAAAATGGTGAGTAATTAAAATAAATGTGTAAAATATGCATTTAAACAAGAAATAAGGTAATTAAAGTATACATATAAAAATATCTATAAAGCATAAGCTGTTTAAATACTCTATAGAGCATTATTAAACAATGCGTTGATACTTCCGAAATTTCATGGATTTAGGCTTAGTAGCAAAAAAGCTCCCAGCCCTGGAGAAACGCTCGCGTAAGACACTGCCGGCCTCCGCGATAAGCGCGCGTTTTCGCTACCCGGCTTGAAGGGGTTAATCTTTTTTCCTTCACTTTCTTAACCTAATTCTCTCACTCACTTCCATACTAAGACAATTACAAATGCAAAAAATTCAGCTTGTTCGTGAAGATTTTATAGTTGATTTAGCTGTTTTTTCCCATTTTCAAATACAAATCACTAACTCCCTCAGAACCACAGACGTCACACAGAATGCTAATGTAACATAATAAAATCAAACTTCTGGGAAAATTCGTGAGTTCAGATGAACACTTGACATACCCTTTAAAGATATCTACTGAAAGGCCATCAAATAATCAGTACATAGTATCCCATAGAAGTAAATGGTGCAGTGCATGGATATTAATGGTTAGACAATAAACAGGCTCCAAATATACCATTTTTGGTGTATTTGAAACAGTACTTTTCAACTTAAAAGAATTTGATGCTTCACACAGATTTACAAAATATTCACAAAGAAATTAATTCATTACCTGAACACATACAGAAGGTTTAACACTGCAAGGACTACATTCATATCACTAGATGACAAAAGTGTTGTAAGGTGCTGAAAAAGAAATTTTGGTTACTAATTTATTTCACGCTCCATAATGAGAAATATACAGAAAAAACAAATAAACTAATGGAATACCTCCATAGAATTATAGAAATGACGAGAGAAACTATGCTCAATAAGAAGAGCAGTGAACTGTAAGACACAGAGTAATAACTGCTTATGCTGGAAATAAACCAAAATATAAAAGTTAGTTGCATGCAAGACTTACATACAAAATACATAGTTAATCAGCAATGGTGATGAAAGTAATACTTTCTTCTAAAATTCAACAATAAATATACAGTACAAAGTCCGAGATCCGGACGTCCAATATCCGGAATGATCCAGACCTTTAATCTACCAACAAAAACAAAAAACAAAAAAAAAAAAAAAAAAAAAAAAATTTATGATTTTTGTGTATGCATTTGATTTCTCCCCATAGCATATGGAGAATCTCGATTCTCAATTTTATTTCGGCACTAAAGAAAATACCTCTTTATTGAAGAAACAATCATTTTAGCATAAATTTTTGTGATCAATAATTTGGTTCTGTAACACTGTATTTGCATCTCAAACTGAAACATTCTACATATAAATATTGTTGATTTTACAACTACTAATATTTTATATCCCTGACGCCAACCTGATGCTTGGCGATGACTACAGATTTAAGTAAAATGTGTTAAATGTTGACGAGCAAAAATTTTAAAAAGGTTTCTTTCCATATGCTAATTATATACTTGTCGGCCAAAAGATTGCATTTAGTTATATTTTAATTTCACATAAACCCAGAACCAGCACCAAAGCTCGTTATGGTGGCAGAATTTAAGACAAAATTTTTGGAATTTAGAGAACGACGAGTAAAAAAATAAACGGATGATAAAATTTTTAGAATTTAGGGAAAGCACTTGCATCCAAAATTAAGGCACAATAAAAATTTAGAACCTAAGGAAGTGCTTGGTAGCAGAATTTAGGACCCACAGAGACTGTATCAGGCAACAAAATATCTACTGCTGCCCTGAGTATGCTTAAATATATGTGAGAATTTATTTATTCAGCACTCAGATAAGCCTTAAGCATGTACAAAAATCAGACGCAAGTAAAATAAATAACTAAATTTATATATTTCAGGCTTCATTCTCTCAGCACGCGATACAAGCAAGACAAAATTTAATGGAACTTGTCTTCCGTCGCCAGTCTCATGATACATAGCAAATAATGTACAAGCTAATACTATAAAGCTAAGCTAAAATTATACTGATTCCAAATAATTTCTGTTAATAGCAGATTGCGCTGTTCTTTAACTTTCTGATTTGACACAGCTTATTATTTTTTTGCAGGCTATTACAATTACAGCAAATTTGTGAAAATTAAAGTTTGAACACTCGATTGTGTTGAAAGGAGTTTAATTCTGGAGCTGCAAGAGGATCTACAAGTGAAAGCATGTTTCGATGTCCATTAACCCCTTCGCGCCGACTGTCACGTATACATGCCAGCAACGAACACACTTATCTACCGGCCGACACGCAGGCATGCCAGAGCACTGTTGTGTTTACTACCAACTGTCACATATTTGCGCCAGTACCCCTTGGAACGTTTTTCAAACTATAATTTCTGCCACAAGATGGCACTGTATGTCCATATGGTTTCAGATACATGTACATTAGACCTACTCGAAATGAGAGAAGCATGACTCACATACACGTGTTTTTGATTATATAAAAAAACGGGGAACTAAATGTTTCTGAATGGCGTGATTTATTACGTCTCTTTAAATCGCACTTTATTCGCACGTGGTAGTTGTTTATTGTAAGTAGAAGTTTTATATGTGCTAAAGCATTGAGTATTTCGGTTTACAGTTCAGTTTTTAGAAAATAATTAGATCTTGTTAGACGTGAATTCTTTCCGTTTTTACCGTTTCAATGTCGAAGCGTCGAAAAAATGTTTAACAGAGCAAGAATAGCAGAAATGATGCAAAATATTTCGATATTGATTCTGAAAGATTAACTGAAAGACATTTTCCAAAACTTTGTTCAGAAGAGACTGATAAGAAAATGAGACGACGATGCTTCGTTTGTTCACATTCCCGGAAAAAATCCTCCAAAACGGCAAATGAGTTATTACGAGTTCAAGGAATGTAACGTAGGACTGTGTGTAGATCCCTGTTTTAAAATTTTCATACGAAAAGAGAATTTTAAGTAATATATTTAGTTTCAGATGTATAATGTTAAAAGTCATAAAATGGTGAGTAATTAAAATAAAATGTGTAAAAAATGCATTTAACAAGAAATAAGGTAATTAAAGTATATATATAAAAATATCTATAAAGCATAAGCCGTTTAAATATTCTATAGAGCATTATTAAACAATGAGTTGACACTTCGGAAATTTCACGGATTTAGGCTTAGTAGCAAAAAAGCCTGCGGCCCTGGAGAGACGCTCGCGGAAGACACTGCCGGCCTCCGCGATAAACGTGCGCTTTCGCTACCCGGCTCGAAGGGGTTAAACAAAAAGTGCAATTGCTGCAAAAAATGGATATTGGTGTATCCATCTCAAAATTACAAGAGCAGTATGGGATTGGAAAATCAACTGTATATGACATAATAGACAAAAGGAACTAAATGAATTTTTTCTGGATTCCGACACTTTACTTGCAATGAATAGCAGAAAAAATTTCACTTTGCTAAAAGTGACAATCGTGACAAAGCTATGATTGAATGGGTCTGACAGCATCGCAGTGAGAGCGTGCCATTGACGGGTCCAATGCTAACGGATCAAGCCAAAATATTTCATGAAGAAATTAACTTAAAAACTGTGTACACATATTATAAAGATTAGTTAACCAAATTTTAAAAATCACTGTGGTATAATGCAATTAAAAATTTCAGGTTGAAAAGATTCAACTGATACTGAGAAGCTGCTGAAAAATTAGCAGATGAATTCATTGACTTCATTAATAGTAAAATGTTATCTCCAGGACAAACCTACAACACTGATGAAACTGGTTTTTTCCTGGCAATGTGTCCCGTGAAATATCTTCACAGACTGTACAGAAAGGCTCCAATTGGTGTCAAAGATTCCAAAGTTAGACTAACAATTTTAACATGCGCAAATGCTGCAGGGATGCGCAAGTGTAAACGTGCGTAATCAGAATATACGACCTTGAGCATTTAAAGGAGTAACGATTTTCACCGTTACATATGATGCAAATAAAAGAGTGTGGATGACACAAGTGTTAATGGTTTTAAAATCATTTTATACCCAAGGCTCGGCAAAATGTGAATTCGGTTGGTTTACCTAATCACGCAAAAAAGTTTCCTGATTGTAGATAACTGTTCGGCTCTATTTATTTCACTTGAAGTTTCGGTAAAAGATAATATACCCTTATTATTTTTTCCTCCAAAAACAACTCCATCATTCAGCCTATGGATATTGGAATATTGTGTGCTGAAATGCAAATACAAAGTTCCATTTTTAAAATCCATGTTAAATTTCTTGACTAATGGCAAGACTATTCAAGAATGTTTGAAATATTTTAAACATAAAATCTGCTGTGTGGAGCATCACCAAATCATGGGAGGATGTGCCTCCAGGTATTTTTTTAAATGCTTGGCATAATTTATGGTCAGCTACTAGATTTCATTAAGAGAATGATGAAGGTGACAGCTGCAAATTTGAAGGTTTTTGGATATTGCAAACTGCAGGTGAAATTTTCCAATTAATGGATTTTGTAAAAAGTGTGCAGAAGTGGTAATTAGTGAAGATGACATAACAGAAATTTTCATTGTGACGAGAATGCTCCAGTCATCATTCAATTAACGGATGGCAAAATCTGTAACATGGTTCTAGATCCAGCAAATACCGCTGCCAATAGTTAAGAAAGTGACAGAGAGGTTACTGAAAATGAAATAATTTCAATTGCAAGTTAGTTGGAATTCTAGATACAGCAACTGCAGGACTAGAACAGTGGAACTTGGTAATTGAACAAGAAATTATGTTTGACTATAAAATTACAGAGAAAGTATTAGGAGAAAAAAAAGCAACTTGGACAGTTTACATTGAATAAAATGTTTAATATAGTAAAAAAAAAATAAATATTATGCTTTTTTTTTTTTTTTTTTTTGCAAATTTTGATACCTTTTAGATCATAAATGCTTCATTATTTCATAAATCATGATTTCATATTTTTAATTTTATAATTCTACATTCCATCTTACTAATTTAAACAAATGATCTAATATCCGAAAAAATCCCAAATCCAGAATCACCGAAGTCCCAACGATTCCGGATCTCATACTTTGTACTGTTATCTTTATCAAAACAAAAAATATTTTTTAATTGGATAACTATTGCAAAAATTCAGCTTGTTTCTTAATTTACCTTTTCCCTCCCTGGCCCATCACAAGGCAAGCACCACTGGTTTTCCCTTAGTTTTTCACATGAATCCTCCAAAATGTGGTCAAATACATCCAGAACATCAATCCAGTGATATAATTCACACTAAAATTTGAACAAAATATTATTTAAACATTTGGATGAAACTTAATATGCTAATTTTGACCACATGATAGCACTCGTATTTCACAGCCATGTTTTCTAATTGCAAATTAAAACAATATTGCAAAATCTTACACTTGTTATTAGAGCTGAGTAGTCAGTTCTACTTTGAGGTGTAATCTATATATATAAATATAAAAGGAAGAGTTTATGTGTTTGTGTGTGTTTCGTTCGTGCTGCACATAAGCTAACAGACCCAGGGCTATGAAATTTCGTACATAAATACATCTAGACAAGAGCCAGTGCACCTTGAAGTGATTTTTTTCAAAATTCGAATAAGATTTTTTTATTTTATGTTTTTGATGAAATTGCATCAAATCGACAATTCTCTCTCATTATATCAGCAACAATGGTGCGGAGCTATTGTTGCTGATATATCACTGTTTCATTGCTGCTGATATCAGCACTGTTGCCACTTGAAAAAATGAGGGTGATAATTCTGTGTTTTTAAATTTAATGTTTCTCTTGGATACAGGACATTTGTCGAGAGAAAGCAGTGAGAAGTTAATTTATTTATTAGGATAATTAATATTTGTATTAAGGGATATTGCTTAATTCATTGTAATTTTTTTATATGTAATACATTTTTATTGAAATTTTTTCATGAAGTTGTTCTGCAGAGTAAAATTCTGTGCAGTTTTTAAATTTAATGTTTGGTGTTTCCTTTAGGCATTTTTTTTTTTTTTTTTTTTTTTTTTTTTGTACATAAAATGCCAGACAAAGGCCGGCTGCTTAGTGGCTAGCGAGTTATAAAAGATGGTCACACAATTCTGACACAATTATCAATTTGGAATTTTTTTGTGTGTGTGTCACAATGTGCTTCTGACAGCAATACTTATCAAACTCACATTTTCTAGTAAACATACTTGGCAGGGCATTCAATACCTCTCTTAGCGATTTTGCCCATTTAATAGTTCTCTGATAATATAATAAATAATGTAATTACATTTCTTGTTTAAGATATGTTAACGCAAAGTGATTATTTTTTAACTACATAAAAATAAAATGATTAGTTTAAAATGAGCAACTATTAAGCCTCTCCTTTAAAAACTTGAAAAAAGTACGTTACAATATTACATGGATGGCAAAAAAAACATTTTGATATTTGGAATATAAAATAAAAGTAACTAAATGGTCTATCAAGTAACATCAATAGTAAACTGAATAGTTTATCAAGGGCATCGAAAGAAGAAAGTATAATGCTAAAACATACTTTGCCACAGTTCCATGTCTTGATTTTTGATAATTCTTTAAGAAGTTCGTCATGACTGCATGATTTCAACTTTTCAATAAGTGCCTTGCAATCAGGAGGCTAAAAATTAAATTATTTAAACTGTTATATTATTCTAATTTTTTTTAAAAATTTCAGTCGGATAAAACTAAAAACTTTAACTTACAAAAATTTGAAGGGGAAAAAATAATGACAATTCATTAAATATATAAAATTTTATGCTTACAATTTCTAGCTAAAACAAGTAATAAAAAATCTGATTAAACAGGAATGCACTTTAAATCAATGCCCAACAAAATTATTAAAAACATTTAGTAAGATATTTACCACTTCAGAAGAACTCTTTTTTAATTTTGTTCTATCTATTTTCATTATTCCTTTAGTTCAGTTTCCACACAAATTAAAATGCTATCATTATCTAAAAAAAATAATAATAATGCATAAATCAATATACAGAAAGCAAATGGTAACTTATGAAACTATATCTCAACACAGAATGTAAATAGCATTGCTTTTTTTTTTCTCTCTAAAAGTATGTGATGCAATTTTCTGGTAATTCAGAATATTTTATTTGCTGAGTGGTGATTAAAACACACTATATGAATAGCAGGAAAATCAAATGATTAAAATAAAAGCCACTTTGATTAGAAGCGGGAATTGTTTCACTGATTTTTTTTATTTATTTAAATACAGCATGCAAGAGCAGTATATTTTGAAAATTATGCCAGTTTGGAGGAGAAACAATAATGCAACAGTTTCATTACTTACACATGTCAGTAGTAATTGATTTGCAAATGAAATGCTGATATTTCTTACTTTCCATTATTTTCATTTATACTTTTCATTATACTAAAAAAACATTAAACATTTGTCACTAAGCAATTATAAAACCACAGCTTCCAGCATTAAAACATGAAAATTACAAGGTTTTTACTCTGCATGGTGATGCAATTTCAAAAGAGAAATTTGGCATAAAACCAATTTATAATGCACAATTTGGATTATACTATTGGACTGTTATAAAGAAATGTCTAATAAAAAAAAGGAGCTTCCAGGTCACAAGCATTGACATTATGTGTGCTCAGTCACAAGTTTGTGGTACTAAGAGGTAATGCTGTCAAAGTTACATTCAGCACAACTTATTGCACAAAACATTAACATTTAGCACAAATATTGTTAATGAACACACATATTCCAATGATACACGAAACTTCATACTGGCAATACAGTACTTGAAAATAAGCCTCTCAGTCACAAATTGATATCAGAAACAGAGAACTGAAGAGTTTCATGAAAGATGATTCACAATATAGTGCTTGGTTTACCAGAAACAAATCTAACATACTCCAGATCACTGTTAATCCTTCATACCATTGGCAAAGTAAAAAAGTTAGACACATGGATGTGATACGAGTGAACACTAATCAAAAAGGCACAACCTCTGGAAGTCTACAACTCACTTTGAAGAAAAAACATGGAAATTTTATAGTGGATTATCCCATATAATGGAAACTGGATGCAATAAGATAATTATAAACAATCAACAAATTGGTTAACAGAGAACAATAAAAAAATTATCATCTCAAGCAGCCTTTCAGACTATAGAAGATGTTGCTTTTAAGGCATTCCACTGTAGGAGCAATTCATGGAATCTTTCTCTATCGAGAATAAAGTATAATGGTGGATCATTATCCCCAAGTTCGTTGAAATGCAACATCAGCATGTTTGTTCTCAGGCATCAAAAAGAAGTCAACAGACATGGTATCGCTAAGTTGCAAGACAATGTCTCTTTACTATTAATTATTATTACTAATTACTATTTTTTTTATTTTATTGCAAAGTGACAAGCATTTATTAAAAAGAAAAGATTTCACGGTAAAATCCTAGTACACAGTATAGCTTTGGCATGATTTTGAAAATTGTTGCCAACACCAAAATGGCCCATTTACCGCTCATCATCATGTCGCCAAATCCTGTGTGTATCCTATACTAAACAATCCGATGTGTTAAACCGATTTCGTTTTAAACGAGAATGGGAAGGTATTTTCTTTAGTTCAACGTGCACTGTACATGCACATGTGAGTCTCTCAATCTCTAGGTTACTGGAAACCAAAGTTGCGGGGAACTTGCTTTGCCTTCTTTAAAGACTATTTGATTGGAGCTGTGAAAACTGGCTCTACACCAGCTGCCCAAATGATGCTCACACGACACATTAATTCCACGAAAGTGATCCTTCCAACATTGACGCAAAACTCGCTTTTTGGGGGAATGCCGTATGAAATTCCCCGATTTTGCTAGATTTTGAATAAAATACTTAAATTAACTGACTTTTTGGGGTCCATTTTCGAATTCCCAGACTTTTCCAATTTTCCAGGTAGCATGGCAACCCTGCTGATCACACTTTAACCCCAAAATAATCTGCTGATCACAAAGTCCAACATGCAGTTGATAACCAATATCTCATTCTTCTTGACAAGGGAACTAGTCACCAAAAGAGTGATAGCAGAAAGGTGTTAGATGCCAAGAAAGACTACTCTAGGCTAACAAAGTATTGATTTCATTTATTTAGCAGCTAAAAGTGATGTATGCCTGTCCAGCACTTGGAATCACACTAACTTAGTTATAACATGATTAGAAGCAAAATATAAAAACTTAATATTTAATGCAGTATTATAAATTTTACGTTATGCTTTTTAGGTTAAATTATAACTTAGAATTCTCCAATATTCTGGGTAATATGTACTTTTTTTAAATTATTATTATAGTAGATAAAACCCTACATTGAGAAAGAAAAGCTTTTACTTATCAGTAATGTTTTGTGTAGATTTGCCAACCATCCTTTCTCACAAAGGACAGACCTTTTATCAGCTCATCTTTCCTTTTATTTTTATTTTTTTATTTATTTTTTTTTTGAGCAAATATGCTGAATGTTCTTTATTTTGAAATAAAAAATTTCTTGTGGCTCAATGATTACATTTGCCAAGACTTTTTTATTGAGGTTCCTGTTTCTTTAAACATAAATTACACAAATATTCTCACAAAGTTTACCTGCATTTATCTAGTAATATTTTACTTAATGAACTCTGTTCATTTAGCAATGTGACCTGTACAGTGGGTTACAGAATTTGTGTTCTTTCATACATTCAAAACTCTGGCGTTTTGGACAGCTTTCATAATATTTTCATAGGAAAGTTACCTTCAACTTCTTTCAACAGTTGCCAGTTCCCATTTTCTTTTTGCTACCCACAGCTCAAGACTAGCCCACTAAGGCATAAATTTAGTTGCAGCAGAAAATGCTAACAAAAGCAATCTAGCAAATAACCTTAGTATCCAAGTCTAAAATCACTGCTTATAACTCTTAAAGTCTGTGCAGATTGTGCTTGCTCTGTTTGCACTTGTTTAGCTTAATTCTAAAATCTTCACTGGTATTTCTGAAGTATGCTTGGCTATGCACAATATTCATTTTTTCAATTTGTCACTTTTTTGTTAAATCTGAATATACATATTATCAACATATCACATTTTATTAATTGCTGTTATGCCCATAAATATTTTATGGAACCGACATGAAAAAAGACCAAGCAATTATGTTCATATAACAAAAATAGGGGGAAGTTTATAGATGGTTAAATGCAACTATTAATCTACAAGAAACTCAACAAACTATTATCAAAGGGTTACTATTTATCAAAATGATTATCAGTGTCCTTTACTGAGACTGGACAAAGTACAAAAACCCTAGCTTTTTACCAAATACTTTTAGTAACAATGGAAATAAATTATCATGTATATAATAATGTGGATAAACTGGAGTTTACTGACTTACCATTCATTGATTTAAAAAGCAAACTACAATGATTTGAAGCTAACTTTCATTTAATAATTTAAAGCAAAATTTAGTGCACATATTTATCCTTAAATGCTATGTCTTCATATATATATATATATTATATATTTTACCGTAAGAAAATTGTACAAACCAAAAAAGATTAAAAAAAAAAAAAACAATTAAGATGCAAATCTCTGAGGAGAGGATGGAATTTGTGTTACTGAAACTGTCAGAGATAAAGATGTTGCCGCTTAGCCTTGGTTTTTTTTTTTTTTTTTTTTTTTTTTTTTTTTTTTGAGGTTTTTTTTTTTTTTTTTTTTTAATTAAAAGTCTTACAGCAATTGTTTTCCTTTCAGCATTTGGGGATGAATAATTTTTAAAGCAGATTTAATGATTTACCAGAAGACCGGAGATGTGACAGAAAATTGGTAGTCCTAATTTTACTAGAGATTTCGCAGTTCTGAAAATCTAACAATCATAAGCAACAAAAATTACTTCATGCGCAGGATATGAAGATTGCATAACATGAGTGAGTTCTGGAACAGATAAAATGCATTTGTGCTTATTATTAAAAGAAGTCTCAATCAAACTACCAGATGTGTTACTTTGGATAATTTCAAAAGTAAAATTAAATGAAAAGGTTTAACAAACGTTTTTCAAACAAACTAAACAAACATTACATTTAACTAATTACAAAAAGATAATGTTGGATAAAAATTTAACTAAACATTTTTTACACAAAAAATTAATCTAAGCTCCAAATAAAAATACATTAAAAATCATTGGATAAATTAGTTATATTAGCATACAGCATTAATTAACATTAACTAGCACACATTAAACATTAACAGAACTAAGGCTTAGTTCAAATATAATTGCTAGATGGACTGTTAGACTGACTGTTAAAAGAAAATTCAAATTTTATTTCTTTTTAAGAGTTACACATATTTATGTTTCCTCACATCAAATTCATCTTCTTAATACAGTACAAAAGTCCGAAATTCCAACGTCCATTATCCAGAATGATCTAAAATCCGGACCTCAAACCACCAACAAAGTTTTTCTCGTAGGCTTTATGCATGCACATTTGATTCCCACCCCCCTCTGCGCATAATAAAACACTCTGGAGAGTACCCATTCTTAATTTCACTTTGACACTAAAATAAAATACCTTGTTATTGAAAAAAAAATCATTTTAGCATAAATTTGTACGATCAGTAATTTGGCTCCATTGCTGCATATCTACTTGGCACACATCTTAAACATAGTACATACATCGTTGATCATTCCACATACAAACATTGTTGATCTGATGCCAACCTCGCGAATCATTATTTATTATACTTTCCTTTCATCACCACATGTTTATCAAAACATAAAAAACTTGAGTAACATGTAGCGATGCCTAAACAATTTTTTTATGTTAGTAATTGAATAATAAAGGAGTACAGTAACCTTTTATGTTGACATTACTCTTGGCAATGATTACAGATTTAAGTTAAATGCACTAAAAATTGTTGACAAGGAAACATTTACCAAAAATTTCTTTCCATATGCTATAAATAGACTTTGTTGATGATACTCATAGA